TTTACTCCATGACAATCATTATGGTTTTTGAATTTTTTGTTTTAAGGCTGACTTGTTTACTGTAATGGCATGCTGGTTTTCTCATTATTGCTTGCTTCATGTGACGTATCTGAGAAAGTTTTTTCAAATTATTTCTTTCTAATTGCTTTATTAATTTCATCCTTGAAGGCTAACACTCTTCTTCTTTTCCAGTACCTTCTGGAGTGCCTAAAAGGGTTATACTTGGTCCTGAGTTTTTTTTTATCTACATTAATGATCTTCCTAACAATCTTGCATCTAAAGTGGCTCTATTTGTTGATAAGTAAACTTTATACCCCTGTCTAAATAAAAATCTGATCTCACTTTTGTAGCAGCTTGGGGCTTGTAGTGCCTTTTGAATTATAACTTTAACAAAACTCAGTTGCTTACTTCAACCTAACTCCAATTGTGGTTAAGTTGCATCTCTTTCTATTTTCTACAAATGGTTGCTGCTCAAAAGAGCTATCATCTCTAGTTTCATTAACCAAAACTCATTCTCGGTTGAATCGTCATTCAGCAAAGTTGCCTTTTACTGTATCTGTTCCTGCATGCTCTAAAAATTATATAAACTTTGTTTTTATAATTTTTAGAGCATTTTAAATAAACAAATAAATTTTATAATTATATAAAATTTATTTGTTTATTTTTTTTCTTCTGACTGTATGTATCACAATCTAATTATTTAAACAATTGATTATATATTTTGTATTTTATTGAAGTATATTTTTTTTTTTAGATTTAGTACAAATCAGTAGTGAATTTATACAGAATTCATCAAACAAGTTGGAAGACTGAAAACTTTGATACACTCAAAATGTCAATTTTCAAGTTTAATTATTTCCTTTTGAAATTGAATATACAATCAGTAATAAAATTATACCAAATTTGAGTCACAAAGTAAATTTAACTTTCTTAAAGCAATATTTTAAATAAAAAAATTTTATTTAAATATTTTAAATAAAAGAAAGAAAACTTGTGATTGCGATAACTTGTTTTTTTATTATTATTATTATTTTGCTTGCGTTGCTTGTAATGAATTAATAAATAAGAAGTGTTAATCAAGGAATTTTGCCTAATAGAAGCGAAAAAAATTAGGCACCTTTTTTTTTTGAGTAACTCAAACTATTAACCTGAGCAACTTTCAAAGCAACTGTGCAACTTAGTAACTTTTAAACTTGTTAAAAAGCAAAAAAATTATTGGTTAAAATGAAGTATTGGTTCATTAAAAATGAATACCTGCAGCACTCAAAGTAGGCCAATTTTTTACAAGAATGTTTTTATATATGTTTTTTTTCTTTCAGGTGTCTTTAGTTGGCAAAAAAAATACAAACATCACCTCTCCATCCCTTTTCCTATGGAAAAACTCGGGACGGCTCTGCTCTGAGTAACTACATTTACATAAAATTAAAATGAAGTATTGGTTTATTAAATATGAATAACTGCAGCACTTAAAGTAGGCCAATATTCACAAGATTGTTTTTATATATCGTCGGGGATAGTGCAAATCCGCGTAACTAGCATTGGCCACTTGGATATTATAAATTTTAACATTGGCTATATGGATTCTAGCATTGGCTATTTGGATATTATTAATTTTAATATTTATTGTTGAGATTACAAAAAACATGAATAATACTCTTTTTACTAAAATGAACCCAATATCCGTTAAAATAAAAAATAAATAAAGTTTTAAACTTCTCCAGTAAAAATCATGATCTCTAGATACGCTGTATTATAAAATGCTAGATACGCGGTTTTGCACTATCCCTGACGATATGCTATTGCTCTGAGTAGCTACATTTTTCCACTAGGTTGCTGAACAAGTTTTATCGCTTGTTAAAAAAAAAAAATTTAGTGTTTGATATACAGTTTGTTATTCCATATAATCGCTCTAAACTTCAATACACTTTTTTCAGTGATTTTCTAATTTATGTAGTCTATCCTTGTAGTGAGAATCTGGAAGACCTTCGAAATAGGTTTCCACGGCTGCTTTAATTCTTTTTTTTAATAAAAATCGTTTTCAACACAAGAATTTATTTTGATGCGAGAATAGCCATAAGTTGTCAACTTATGGTTATTCTCACACTAAATCAACATCTACCCTATTTGCCGAACCAAAACTAGTATTATGATAGATATTGCAACAATTCATACTTTAATTCACTAATTTTCGCAATGGTTTTTTGATCTGTGTGAGGTGCGTTTTCTTGATGAAAAGCTAATTTTTTTTTCTAAATCTGGTCATTTCTCACTATTGTCCAAAACTAGTCCAAAAGGTTACACTAATAATCTGAGTTTATTGTTAAACCAGTTTGAAGGTAATCTGTAAACAAAACTCCATTTGCATTACAATAAAATAATGCTAACATCTTCTTGGACGAATTCTGTAACCTTACTCGCTTCAGAGCAAAAATACTGGGTTCATTCCACTTATCTGTTTATTTGTTTCAGGTTATTGATTGTAGACCCAAGTTTCAGCCATAGTTATGAAACGACGCACAAAGTTATTTTTATTCTTTCTAAATCGCTAAATGTTGCTAAGAAAGTTGCAACCGAACTTGTTTTTGTTTCATCGTTAGCAAATGTCACGTACATTGTGCATACAACTTATTAAAACTCAAAACTTCATTCAAAATTTTGTTTACACTATCTAAGGAAATGTCTAGAGCTTCTACTAAATCTCTCTCAATTAATTGATAATCTTTCAAAATCATATGTTGTTTTTTTGATACGATTTCTGGTTGTAATGCACTTATTGTACGTCCTTGACGTGGATCATCTTAAAAACTTGTATAACCACGTTTAAGTTAAGCATTCCATCTTTCTACTATTCTAATTGAATGTGAAGAATCCTTATACTTTTTTAATAATCATTAATGAAATTGTTTTAGTGCTACGTATTCACTAAATAAAAATTCTTTTACTGCACAATATTCAATTTTTTCCATTGCAAAAAAATTTGAAATTTTGAACACCTGTAAATATACAAATGATTTAACAGATCTACGAATAACTTCACACGTGTTAAAAAAAAGTAGTAACAATATGAGATAAACAAAATAAGGAACCTCATAGCGCCATCTCCAATCGAACGACAAAATTTATTGAACAAACTTGTAAACTCGTATTTAAAATTGGAGTTTCTTTCTTGAACGGTTGTTGTGATGGTAAAGTAACTTATAATAATGAAATATACAAGTTGTATTTAAAAAATTCCTTTTCCTATCATCCAATAGACGGATATATATTATATGTTATAAAGAAAAAATCAAAATTCACTTTTTCGATTTTAGGCTCATTATCTTGAAAAAGAAAAAAAAATGCATTTTTACAAGGTCCTTTCTTATTGTGTTAAGCAACGGATATGTAGAGAAAAAAGAGATTGCAAGTTAGTCATGACTAAAATATGATTTGTTTAAAATACTTACGTAACGGCATTTTCGTTAAAGTAAAAATATGAAATTTGAATACTAATATTGGTCAGTGAAGTCAATTCTGATATAGTACGTTTTTACATTTGTTATCATCAAAGCTAGGTTAATCGGTTAGTTTCATGCTTGTACAGGACACTCGTTGCTTTCTAACCACATAAGTTTAAATTGCAACTATAAATTGAGCTACGACATCAAAACAGAACTCATTGGATAGTAGGTTTTTGTTAAATAAAACAGTTATCTTTTATTTCAACTATCTTGTAAACATTCGTTCTAGACTTACTTAGGGATTGTTATTAATAGCATGATACAGCAAACAGTATTACTTTTGTTATTTTGGCCGTCTAAAAAAATAATTATTCAGCTAAATAAGACATTTGCAATATAAGTGAATTTTGAACAAAACAAAAAAAAAAATCACTGAAACCAACAGGCACTCCGTAAATCAACATTTTGGTTGGTTACTTCTCTAAAAGAAATAACTAATAATGAAAATAGAAAATTATAGAACATCAAAGAGTTAGATATAACGCCAATAAAAAAAAATTGTCAAGCTAATTAAAACCAATATCAACAGCGTTTTAAAGTTTTGAAGATGTTGCGGAACTAGAACGAGGATGTACTCACAAAGAGCAAAAAACTTTTGATATATTGAATACATAATCGTTAACCGATTTTCTTTTTTTAAATCATAAACAAATATTTTTTTGCTTTCTAACAAGTTTAAAAGTTACTAAGTTGCTTTGAAAGTTGCTCAGGTTAATAGTTTGAGTTACTCAAAAAAAAAAGGTGCCTTATTTTTTTGGCTTTTATTAGGCAGATTAAGATTACAAGCTAAAAGTCGATTTACAAAAATGATTTTAAAAAAGCCTAATGAAACTGTCGAGTAAGCATTTACTATAATAAAAAAAAGAGAAAACAAAAAGATTTTGCATGCTGATTTTATTCTTATTTGTTCAGTTTATATCAGCGTCTAATTAGTTATCCTGAGCAATAAGTTTATAAACCCGAAATGAGAGGAGTACAGTCTTTATATTTATGAAGCTTAATTTCACTTAATACTTCAAAAAAATATACTTTTGATGTTACAAAAAGTATTATATACTCTTCCTTTATTAACACTTCTTACTTCTTAATTCATTACAAGCAATGCAAGCAAAATAATAATAATAAAAAAAAAACAAGTTAGTTAATATAGAAATGTTTTAGCCTGTTCGTTTTTTTTAATATTATAAAATACAACATTTTTTCTTTTAAATTTTTCTTTAAAGATACATAAATTAAAAAGAAAATTTAGTTGCTAAATAATAGCGTTAATTTAAAGAAAAAAAGTTAAAGGAAAAATAGGAAGGAACAACACAACAATCACAAGTTTTCTTTCTTTTATTTAAAATATTTAAATAAATTTTTTTTATTTAAAATATTGCTTTAAGAAAGTTAAATTTACTTTGTGACTCTAATTTGGTATAATTTATTATTGATTGTATATTCAATTTCGAAAGGAAATAATTAAACTTGAAAATTGACTTTTTAAGTGTATCAAAGTTTTCAGTCTTCCAACTTGTTTGATGAATTCTGTATAAACTCACTACTGATTTGTACTAAATCTAAAAAAAAAAATATACTTCAATAAAATACAAAATATATAATCAATTGTTTAAATAATTAGATTGTGGTACATACAGTCAGAAGAAAAAAACCTAATCAGAATTATTATTAATATATATCATAAAAATAAATAATGGGGGACCCAGCTATTTACTATTATCCATTCTGAGTATGTACCACCAACAATGACACTCTAATGCCGATCTCTTAGGTAACATTCAATTCAATTGTAGAGTTTGTCATCTATGCTATAAGCTTTTAATTTTAGAAGTAGTAAATGTGTCGAAAGCTTTCGATATATCTAGATATAAATTTTCTTTATTAGTTTTATTCTCCAAGGCTATTGTCTTAGCCTCAATCTTCACTAAAGTTTATTGCATTTTCAAAGTCGCATTTATATAATTTATTACTATTTTCAGCATTACTTATTGCGTTAACTTTACTTTAATCTTTTTTAACTACTCCTAATATAATTTAATGTAGCAGATCTAGTTTATCTTATTGATTTTTTTATTACCTATAACATTGCATTAAACTATTGCATAAAAAAAATGCTATATGAAATAAAAAACATCCTAAAAAAAACTTTTTTTTAGCAAAATTACTATCTTGTAATAAATTTTTTAAATACTAAAGTAGGCCTAGTTTTCAACTTTTACTGTAAACTAATACAAACTGAACTAATTTTGCAACATTCTTTAATGCTTTTGTATAAGTCTGAGATATATCTATTTTATTGATTTTTTTTCTAGGTTTATAATTGCAATTTGAATTGCAAAGCAATAAAGCTTGTGTGATGGCATTATTTAACTTTTATCAGAAAAATAATTACAAAACTTAATATAAGACAAATTTGTTGATAAGGTAAAAAATCAATATTACTTTGTTAATATTTAGGCGACAATTTACAATTTTGTTAGTGGCTAATATATTTTTAAATATTTTCAGCTCGCAAAATTGTTTTCAGACAACAAATAAATCTAAAATTTATTTGTAAAAGAAGTAAAATGCAACATTCAAAAAGTGACTTTTAGATCATGTCTGTACATCTGTTAAAAAGCCTATTGTAAATTTAAAGCAATCCTTTAGCCAAGCCAATATCTCAATCTCTCTGAATATATATCTGTCAAAGATTAATTTTAAAATTTGTGAAATGTTCTGTATTTCTTTTAGTCAATTGATATCATAAACATCTAATATTATAAAATCAGGGTTTGAGTTCAATATGATATCAATGAGTGATTTCATTTTGACATCATATTGATATCATAAACTTCTAATATTATGATATTAGAGTTTGAGTTTAAAAAGATATAAATGAGTGATATCTTTTTGAACGTCTCATATCATGATATCATATATATCATTGTTTGATATTATTTTGATATCAGTATGGTATAAAATTCCTGACTGGGTAATTGTATGTTTTATACATTTTGTATTTTACCCTAAAGGATTTAAAAGAATAGAACGTCGATGAAATCATTAAGCTACATTATATTTTGCATTTCTTATTGTAAATTTATTATTTATTCATTCTTTGTTTAAAATACTTACTATAACAGCAAATGCAACAAACAGATTTTAATTTTCATTGTCTAAAACTTTCATGAATACAATAATTCTTGTATACAAGATAAAATGACGATATTATTTTGCTTTCCTGTGTTCTAGTTTAAAAAGACCTCTTCGAAGTTAGAAGTAGTGGACTGATCGATTCCCAACATTTGATTAAAAACCAGTCGTTTCTGAGCAAACCAGATATGAATTTTTGATTTGAATTTTAAACAACATAAGAATAATGAGGATCCATATCTAAATTATTTATTAAAAATCAAATGCTGTTTCTATTCTTATGCAATAGGTAGGCATTTGAGCTAAATTCAGCATCACATCTTAGTATTGCATTATTGTTTGAATAAATACTCCTTTTTTTAAGTTACACTGTCACAGAAGTTTACCATTCACACTCATTTTTTGATATGTGACTCGAGCAACATTTTTTTTTTAAATATAATTTAGGTGCTCCCAGAAGTCCTTACGGTCTTATCACGGAGCACCGCGGGAGAGCATTTAACTGGAAGTTCACGCCTCCTTCCTTACCAATGTTCCTTATTAAACTAGAACCGTCGATCCCCAGGCCTTGCTGCAAAATCTTGTAAATAAAATTGTGTCATGAAAACTAGATGGGATTGCGTTTTCAATATATACAGCCACTGGAAAAGGACAAGATAAAATATTTTACTATTTAACAAAAAACTGGCAATATTGTTAACTATCGGAGCACTGAATAGGAATTCCGTCAGTATTTACATCAATAGTTATAAACTTGGTATCTTGGTTAATATCACTTAAATATATATTTACTTTATAGAGATATAATTCTTTTAAATCATTTTTACTTGTTTTCTTGTGACGAAAGAACTTCAGGTAACAATTCATCTACTAATTTTGTCAACATACTTACAGATTACATTGTAAAAAATTGTTTTATATATTGTAAACTTACAGAGGAAACTTTGAACTCATAATGGAAACTTTAAACTTAGAGGGAAAACTGTAAGTTTACAGTTTACAACTGTACCTATCGTTTCAATTGATAAGTTGATATACGTGATAACGCTTTAGCCGAACAACATTTGTTGTTCTGCTAAAGTATTATTAAACTTCATTTTTTTTTTTCATTAACCATTTTGCTCTAAAAGTAGTTGCTTGCAGCCATTTTGGAAGCAAAAATGTTAAAAAAAAAGAACAGAAACTTCTATCGGTTTTTTGTATTACTGATATAATATTACATAATATAATAATTTTAATGGAGATATGTCTATGTAGATATACCTCTATTACAGTTTGTACTGATGTGTTGGTATATGTAACAATACTAAAGCAGAAGAATAAACACTGTTTGAATTTAATATTACTTTAGCAGAACAACAAATGCTGTTCGGCTAAAGCGTTATCATGTATATCAACATATCAATTGAAACGATAGCTACAGTTGTAAACTGTAAACTTACAGTTTTCCCTCTAAGTTTATAGTTTCCATTATGAGTGAAAACAATGTTGCGAGCTGAAAATATTTAAAAATATATTAGCCACTAACAAAATTGTAAATTGTCGCCTAAATATTAACAAAGTAATATTGATTTTTTACCTTATCAACAAATTTGTCTTATATTAAGTTTTGTAATTATTTTTCTGATAAAAGTTAAATATTGCCATCACACAAACTTTATTGCTTTGCAATTCAAATTGCAATTATAAACCTAGAAAAAAAATCAATAAAATAGATATATGTCAGACTTATACAAAAGCATTAAAGAATGTTGCAAAATTAGTTCAGTTTGTATAAGTTTACAGTAAAAGTTGAAAACTAGGCCTACTTTAGTATTTAAAAATTTTATTACAAGATAGTAATTTTGTTGTAAAAAAAGTTTTTTTTAGGATGTCTTTTATTTCATATAGCATTTTTTTTATGCAATAGTTTAATGCAATGTTATAGGTAATAAAAAAATCAATAAGATAAACTAGATCTGCTACATTAAATTATATTAGGAGTAGTTAAAAAAGATTAAAGTAAAGTTAACGCAATAAGTAATGCTGAAAATAGTAATAAATTATACATATGCGACTTTGAAAATGCAATAAACTTTAGTGAAGATTGAGGCTAAGACAATAGCCTTGGAGAATAAAACTAATAAAGAAAATTTATATCTAGATATATCGAAAGCTTTCGACACATTTACTACTTCTAAAATTAAAAGCTTATAGCATAGATGACAAACTCTACAATTGAATTGAATGTTACCTAAGAGATCGGCATTAGAGTGTCATTGTTGGTGGTACATACTCAGAATGGATAATAGTAAATAGCTGGGTCCCCCATTATTTATTTTTATGATATATATTAATAATAATTCTGATTAGGTTTTTTTCTTCTGACTGTATGTACCACAACCTAATTATTTAAACAATTGATTATATATTTTGTATTTTATTGAAGTATATTTTTTTTTAGATTTAGTACAAATCAGTAGTGAATTTATACAGAATTCATCAAACAAGTTGGAAGACTGAAAACTTTGATACACTCAAAAAGTCAATTTTCAAGTTTAATTATTTCCTTTCGAAATTGAATATACAATCAATAATAAATTATACCAAATTAGAGTCACAAAGTAAATTTAACTTTCTTAAAGCAATATTTTAAATAAAAAAAATTTATTTAAATATTTTAAATAAAAGAAAGAAAACTTGTGATTGTTGTGTTGTTTCTTCCTATTTTTCCTTCAACTTTTTTTCTTTAAATTAACGCTATTAATTAGCAACTAAATTTTCTTTTTAATTTATGTATCTTAAAAGAAAAATTTGAAAGAAAAAATGTTGTATTTTATAATATTAAAAAAAAAGAACAGGCTAAAACATTTCTATATTAACTAACTTGTTTTTTTATTATTATTATTTTTTTGCTTGCATTGCTTGTAATGAATTAAGAGGTAAGAAGTGTTAATAAAGGAAGAGTATATAATACTTTTTGTAACATCAAAAGTATATTTTTTTGAAGTATTAAGTGAAATTAAGCTTCATAAATATAAAGACTGTACTCCTCTCATTTCGGGTTTATAAACTTATTGCTCAGGATAACTAATTAGACGCTGATATAAAAGGAACAAATAAGAATAAAATCAGCATGCAAAAGCTTTTTGTTTTCTCTTTATTTTATTATAGTAAATGCTTACTCGACAGTTTCATTAGGCTTTTTTAAAATCATTTTTGTAAATCGACTTTTAGCTTGTAATCTTAATCTGCCTAATAAAAGCCATAAAAATAAGGCACCTTTTTTTTTTTTGAGTAACTCAAACTATTAACCTGAGCAACTTTCAAAGCAACTTAGTAACTTTTAAACTTGTTAGAAAGCAAAAAAATTATTGGTTTATGATTTAAAAAAAGAAAATCGGTTAACGATTATGTATTCAATATATCAAAAGTTTTTTGCTCTTTGTGAGTACATCCTCTTTCTAGTTCCGCAACATCTTCAAAACTTTAAAACGCTGTTGATATTGGTTTTAATTAGCTTGACAATTTTTTTTTATTGGCGTTATATCTAACTCTTTGATGTTCTATAATTTTCTATTTTCATTATTAATTATTTCTTTTAGAGAAGTAACTATTCTTTTAGAGAAACAACAAATCATATTTTAGTCATGACTAACTTGCAATCTCTTTTTTCTCTACATATCCGTTGCTTAACACAACAAGAAAGGACCTTGTAAAAATGCATTTTTTTTTCTTTTTCAAGATAATGAGCCTAAAATCGAAAAAGTGAATTTTGATTTTTTCTTTATAACATATAATATATATCCGTCTATTGGATGATAGGAAAAGGAATTTTTTAAATAAAACTTGTATATTTTATTATTTTAAGTTACTTTACCATCACAACAACCGTTCAAGAAAGAAACTCCAATTTTTAATACGAGTTTACAAGTTTGTTCAATAAATTTTGTCGTTCGATTGGAGATGGCGCTATGAGGTTCCTTATTTTGTTTATCTCAAATTGTTACTACTTTTTTTTTTAACACGTGTGAAGTTATTCGTAGATCTGTTAAATCATTTGTATATTTACAGGTGTTCAAAATTTCAAATTTTATTGCAATGGAAAAAATTGATTGTGCAGTAAAAGAATTTTTATGGAAATGGAGGGAAATGGAAAAAAATATTGTACAGTAAAAGAATTTTTCTTTAGTGAATACGTAGCACTAAAACAATTTCATTAATGGTTATTAAAAAAGAATAAAGATTCTTCACATTTAATTAGAATAGTAGAAAGATGGAATGCTTAACTTAAACGTGGTTATACAAGTTTTTAAGATGATCCACGTCAAGGACGTACAATAAGTGCATTACAACCAGAAATCGTATCAAAAAAACAACATATGATTTTGAAAGATTATCAATTAATTGAGAGAGATTTAGTAGAAGCTCTAGACATTTCCTTAGATAGTGTAAACAAAATTTTAAATGAAGTTTTGAGTTTTAATAAGTTGTATGCACAATGTACGTGACATTTGCTAACGATGAAACAAAAACAAGTTCGGTTGCAAATTTCTTAGCAACATTTAGCGATTTAGAAAGAATAAAAATAATTTTGTGCGTCGTTTCATAACTATGGCTGAAACTTGGATCTACAATCAATAACCTGAAACAAAACAAACAGAAAAGTGGAATGAACCCAGTATTTTTGCTCTGAAGCGAGTAAGGTTACAGAATTCGTCCAAGAAGATGTTAGCATTATTTTATTGTAATGCAAATGGAGTTTTGTTTACAGATTACCTTCAAACTGGTTTAACAATAAACTCAGATTATTAGTGTAACCTTTTGGACTAGTTTTGGACAATAGTGAGAAATGACCAGATTTAGAAAAAAAAAATTAGCTTTTCATCAAGAAAACGCACCTCACACAGATCAAAAAACCATCGCGAAAATTAGTGAATTAAAGTATGAATTGTTGCAATATCTATCATAATACTAGTTTTGGTTCGGCAAACAGGGTAGATGTTGATTTAGTGTGAGAATAACCATAAGTTGACAACTTATGGCTATTCTCGCATCAAAATAAATTCTTGTGTTGAAAACGATTTTCATTAAAACAAAGAATTAAAGCAGCCGTGGAAACCTATTTCGAAGGTCTTCCAGATTCTCACTACAAGGATAGACTACATAAATTAGAAAATCACTGAAAAAAGTGTATTGAAGTTTAGAGCGATTATATGGAATAACAAACTGTATATCAAACACTAAATTTTTTTTTTAGATCTAGGGATCCTTCTTGACAGATCTGACGATCATAGAATTCTCTATAGAAGTGGTGGAACGCAATCTTCCACCTTTGTTATCTGCTGCTAACTTCACTGTAGAACGATATTTGGAACATAGTCTTGATATAGTCTATTTTATCACGCAATGTTTATCAAAAATACTTTTTTGTAACATTCCACTTACGTAATCGCCAATAATTTTCTTTCTTAGTTCCAATACAATACTGTCAGGAGCCATTTTTGCACTTGAAGTCATAAAAATAATAAAAATAAATAATCACGTTTCTCAAAGCTTACTGTGTTACATTTACCTAGTGATGATATAATAATGTTCTGTGGAATACAACCTCTTGGTTGGATGTGGACTGTATTGATGTAATGAAACACTTGTTGTATTTCACTTCTTGTATTGATGTTCTTCGATAAAACACTTTGATAAAACTCACTTCAATAAACTGTCTTGATAATACTGACTGATTGACTTCCATATACTGACTGAATTACATGTCGGTTTACATGTCTCTTATATAGTAAAATGAACCTGTGTGAACCTGTTCTGGAAGATTCTAGATGCTTCTTTTTGATGTTTCTGGAAGCTTCTGGATGCGTCTGGATGCTTCTGAATGTTTCTGGATACTACTGGATGCTTCCAGATGCTTCTTCTGGAAACTTGTTTTGTCCGCTGCAAAATGGCACTTATCAACAAAATTCCGCCTGTGTGCTGCCACCTGTCAGCTAATTGCTCATGTCATGGCATGTTATGACTCCAGACTCCTGAACTGTTTGCTGTGGTAGTATAGTTCATTTCGTTTTTAAGAAATGTAAAATTAGAAACACTTTTTAGCATTGTTTGATGTTGGTTGCAAATATTTTGTCCAATACTGTATATAACGGGGACAGTAAGTTTTTTTAACAATAAAACAATCAAAGAATTAACTTTACAACCAAGATTAAAATAAATATCCTTAACCAAAAAAGTTTGCGAAAAAATTTTTAGTCTACCCGTAAAAGAGGTTATACCATCTTAGGAACCTGCTCGCCTTATGCAATCTTCCTCTATATAATAAATGTGTAATAATTGTATTAATAGTGAAATTACATAACAAATATGTAGTTATTTTCTTTCTGTTGTAATAAGGGTAGACGATTTTTTGTCTAACTTTTCTCTGTAACGTGTGGAAAGTGGGACGAGAAATCTTTGATTTTTTTGCTTATGTATTTTTTTATCTACCAGAACAAATATGTTGCTGTGGCCTTTCTTTAAAACAAGCAAAACTTAATACAACATTTTTTTTTACTGATTCTGCTGTGTGCTAGATTTCTATTTAATAAAAATTTGTTAATAACAAATTGAAATTTTATACTTGTGAGAAAATAGAGAAATTAAAGTGAGCTAACAAGTTTTCAGCAATAAGAATAAAACCACCCATTTGGCAACTGTTCTATATTTTAGTGTTTGGTCTCCATAAACTTTTTTGAGTTCATTGGATATCTCAGTTGATGGAATTCCAAACTCAGCACAAGTTTTAATATATGCTCTATATTTAAATTTATTCATTTTATAATATAATATAATATAAATCAAATGCTGTTTTCTTGTTTTACCAAGAAATATGAGACTGACGACAGTAGATGTTAAACTATAACAGTTATTTTTCATTAAAGCATTTAATGAAAAACAAAAGTTAAATCTTTTACAGAAGTTGTATTAATAACATCTTGATCTAGTACATTCCAAGTTTTTTCAACACGATTGGTAAAGAAAATATGGCTAGAAAGTGAGTTTCTTACTTATTGTCTTTATTTTCTGATCATGCCCTCATGTAGTATAAGTTATTCTTTCAGGTTGGTTATGCCAGCTTATTTTATATATATTGTTTTGAAATCTAAACATATGAATTAGATAACTTCGCAGCCTTCAACCAACCAATTTTAAAAGTTCCATATTTTGTATCTATTGTTCATAGTTAATACCTTTTAGGTAACAAATTTTAGTTGTTCGTTTTTGGACTCTTTCTATAAGATTAATATCTTTAGCGTAGTATGGGTTCCATATTTAAAGTGCAGACTTGAAGTGAGGTCGCACAAGTGATATATATATATATATATATATATATATATATATATATATATATATATATATATATATATATATATATATATATATATATATATATATATATATATATACATATATATATATATATATATATATATATATATATATATATATATACATATATATATATATATATATATATATATATATATATATATATATATATATATATATATATTTATATATATATATATATATATATATATATATATATATATATATATATATATATATATATATATATATATATATATATAATAGTTTCATAGAATAAAGTTATTTTTTTTAAGTGCTTTTACTAAAATTGAAATAAATTTTTTATTATATAAGCAATTTATGATTAAAAACCAAAATGTAGAAAAATGAATGCTCTTTAAATTATATATAATAATGACATAAAATTTGTTCAAATTTTTAATAATTTTATAAATAAGCTCATAACTGTCGCTTGCCTTTGGGATCGTTCTTCAATTACGAAATGCCAAATTTAACTAATAGACAAAATTTTTTTATTAAAAGAGATTTTTAATAAGTTGCACAAACTTTCCTGATGCCCTACGTATGTATGTATCAAGCCTACCCGGGAAAGGCCTTGTATGCCCACACCAAAAGTAATATATTTAGACACACTGACCACGGCAGTTCGCATCTTTTAACTTAAAAAGCGTTTCAATAACTGGCTACAAAATGCTAAACTTATTTACTTGAAAAAAAGAAAACAATTCTTAAATCAGGAAACAAAATTGTAACGAAATATCAAGTTATATAAATATATAAATATATATATATATTTATATATATATATATATATATATTTATATACATATACATATATATATATATACACTTTACTGTTATATATATATATATATATATATATATGTATATATATATATATATATATATATATATATATATATATATATATATATATATATATATATATATATATATATATATATATATATATATATATATATATATACACACTTTACTGTTGAATTAACTAACTATTAAAAATTTGAAAATATAAACCCATACAACTTTAAATCGATACTGGTAAAACAAATACTTGGACCCAAATCAAAGCCAAACAATTATTTTAATCTATCTTAATCAAGGTTTGTGTTTCCAAGTTATAATTGAGATTGGGTTGTAGTCATAACTAAAGAAGCCTCCTCAATAAAAGTGGCCTTCGCAGCGTCAGGGAGGTGAATTGAAATGAAAAAATAAAAAATATAAAATTGTACTTGATACTTGGCTATGCTTAAATACATGAAATAAGGCTGAACCATTAGCAAAGAAATTCTCTTCCAATCTGACTCTCAAATCTTATGGCCTTTCTCTTCCTTCCATTCTAATTAAACAGGTTAACCAATTGTTAGACATTCAAACTACTTCAGCTTCTATTGCTCATAGTCATACCTCGATTAAACTCTTCTACGACTTGTGATCCAGACAAAATTCCTGTCACAGTCGTACAAAATTGTTTTTCAGGACTCAATTATCTCTAAACTATTTATTAAGTACTTGACTGATTCTTATTTTCCTACTTGCTGGATAATGGCACCTGTTGTTCTATTTTTTAAAAGCGCTTGTAAACATACTGACCCCTCCAAATATTGTCTAATCAGTCTTCTTTATATTATTAGCAAGGTCTTTGAGCCTTTGATAAACATATTTCTTACATTCCAACTTTAGTCAAATAACTTGCTGTCAGACAATCAATACGTGTTTCAATCCTCTTGCTCTTCCGCTGACTTGCTAACTGCTGTGACTGAAAGATTTTATTGTGCATTAGATGGAGGCTTAAAGGCTATCACTCTAGACATATCTGAGGCTTTCGACAAAGTTTGACATGTTGGCCTTTTCTATAAGCTTGTTTCATATGGTGTATCTGGGAAATTTTTGAGATTATAAAATCGTTTTTTTTTCTAACCGCCTTAATAAAGTCATCCTTGAAGGTCAACACTCTACTTTATTTCCAGTAACTTCTGGGGTACCTCAAAGTTTTATTATTAGTCCTGTTTTATTACTTATCTACATCAATGATCTTCCTGACAACCTCACATCTAAAGTAGCTCTTTTTTCTAATAACTCAAATCAATACTAATGTCTCGACAAAAGTTCTTCTCTTTTTGCTTAGAACAGACAGCCCATCTTGTATCTGATCTTACTTCTGTAACTGATTGGGGCTTACAGTGGCTTGTAAATTTAAATTCCAACAAAACTCAGTTATTTACCTCAAATAACTATTGCAGTACTGTTGACACTCCTATTTTAATGAATGGCAACCCTCTCACTGATTCCTCTTCTTAACTTCTTCTTGGGTTATCATTTACTAATGACCTTTCATGGAAACCATATATAAAATGGATTGCTAAATTAGCATATGCTAAGCTTGCTTCTCTTCATTGTGCTCATCATTTTCTCTTTTCTGATTCCATTCTCTACCTCTACAAATTTCTTATTCATCCCTGTATGAAATACTATTGTCATATCTGGGCTGGTTTTTCTAATAATGCTTTTTCTCTTCAAGATTAGGTCCAAAAACGCATTGTAAACAGAGTTGAACTAAGTCTATATGCTAAGCTTGAGCCCCTTTCCTATCGTTGTAAAGTTGCATATCCTTCTCTTTTTTGTAAATACTATAATGGTTGCTCAATAGAACTTGTCTCTAGTTCCATCAACCAAAACTCATTCTTGCTTGACTTGTTATTTATCAAAGTCTCATTCTTTTGCTGTATCTGCCTCCTTATGCTCCAAAAACATTTTTGTCTAGCTTATTTCCCAGCACTTCAACCCTTAGGAACTCTGTCCCATCTCCATGTTTTCCTGACTCATACAACCTTCAACTTTTAAAGTCTTCTTTCAACTGTTTCCTTGCTCTATAACTCTACTCTTTTTGTCAATCAACTCCTAACTTAATAGTGGTTGCTTGCAGCATTGTTGGGAGTAAAAAAGAATTTATAAAAATATAGATAACAATGCCTAAATTGGTTACTTTTAAAGCTTTTACCTGTAAACAAAGTAATGTAAAAAAATTCTAAGTAATGCATAAAGTTAAGTTTTATTATTATGTAATTAGTATAATAATGTAGGACAAAAATGCCATCGGTTGGAGAATTGGTAAAAGTGGCCAATATATATATATATATATATATATATATATATATATATATATATATATATATATATATATATATATATATATATATATATATATATATATATATGTATATATATATAACATAAAACATAAAACCGGTAATGTAAAACAGTTAAGTGTTTATATATATATATATATACATATATATATATATATATATATATATATATATATATATATATATATATATATATATATATATATATATATATATATATATATGTATGTATATATATATATATATATATGTATATATATATATATGTATGTATATATATATATATATATATATATATATATAATATATATATATATATATATATATATATATATATATATATAAATACTTTACTGTTTTACATTACCGGTTTTATGTTTTGGAGACTCAAGCTAATACTGCCAAATGTTTCAAATTTCACAGGATTCTAAAATTAAAAGAAGATAAATATGTAAATTATTAAAAAATGAACTAAATAATAAAAAAATTTGAGTTTTGCCACTGAAAGTGACAACATTTAAATTTTGATTTACTTTAAATAAAGATTTTTTTTATATTATATAGATATAAAACACTAATTGTTTAAATTGGTAAGAAAAAGATTTCAAGTCTTTTAAGCTCATATGGTTGACATTTTTAATTCAGGTTTAAAATCAATAGGCTGTTGTACTCTGAATATCCTGATATCACCTCATGAATGCTTATCATATTGTTTAGTTGTTTAGAAGTGATCAACATAAAAAATGGATGATAAAAACTTTGCAGGTTATATGCATCATAATGTTGATGTACATTGATGTTTGAGTATTATTTTCAACAAAAAAGTTATACAAAATGAATTGCAGGCGATTTATTTTCCAAATGGTTTTAGAACTGAACAATAATATTGACATAATTTTATTACAATGTATATCATTATTTGAGAATAGTAGCTTGTTAGAACAACTGCCTTTTTAAATCAACAAATAGTAATGGTGTAAAGGGTTTTTTATAAATTTATGTTATATATTAACGTTAGAAATATTTAATACAATACAAGAAAGATGTGCTGGCTTTGCCAAAATTTACTATTAGTACATCAAGTAGATTTCTGAAACAAAAAAGCAAAGATATTGATAAGACAGAAATAATAAAGGTAGCAAAAAATAGGACTATTCTGATGCGACTGGAAACAAGAACAACAGGCAAAACATCTAGTGAACTTTAAAAAAAAAAATCAATTAAAAATATAGCACAGCCACCTTATTATACAACATTTCAAAAGTTTCCATTAATGCAAGAACAAATTGAGTTTGCTTCAACAATGCGTCAAAAATTTTATTTTAAAAAATGAAAATAGAATTTTTATAAATCAAATTTTTTTACTTTTGAAATCAAACTTTTATTCATTTATGCTTAATGAGTTTCTTTGAGAAACAAAAAATTCATGGATTGCTGCTATAAAAATACTGCTCATTCATGGAAGCTTATAAAAAATAAATAAAAACAATGAAAGTCAGTGATAGAAAGCATGAATAAAATATCAAAATCAATAAACTTATTAAAAAATATCAAATTTTCAAATTAACAGACACAACACAATGTGGATATTATTGTGATATCCACATTGTGGATATTACAATGATATTGACATTTTTGACCATTTTGTTTGTGATATGTGATAGAAGATAAAAACATGAAAAACAGGCTTGGTCGGGAAGCGGGAGCGATTGCTCTCGATTGCTGACCACGTAAATAATATTTAGTTGCGAAAAGCTGGCCAGATTTTTAGTCGTTTTGAGAACATTTTAAAAAGCAAAAAAAAAAAAGCGACGAAGATTAATTGGACCGATGAGAGACAATTACAAAAAAAATAAAATTATGCGATGTTTTTTATATAAAGTAACAACTTACGATTGTTTAAAAGGGAAATAAATATTCTTTATTTAACTAAGTTTGCAAGTTTTAGTTTTACTTAATCTAAATTATTTTATAAATAAAAAAGTTAATTTTTTTAATACCTATTTTATGTTTCGCGTAGTTTGAAAAGTTTAACATATTTGAAGCGATTCTTCTTAGTAAGATAAACAAATGAAATAATTAACTCATTGAATTACTATAGGAATTAAATTATCAAGATAGAAATCAACTAAAAAGGTTAAAAATACTTAATGACCAGGAAGCGAAACTGCTTCACAATATCGCTGATGTGCTGATTAGTGAGTGGGCTTTTTAGTTTTAATAAGTATTTAAAGCAGCAAAAAGTATAACGAGTTTTAAGAATGGCAATTTAAGCGAAAATATTTAGAGTTAGTAAACCTATATCTAGAAACTTTTCTTTAAATCTAATTATTTGCTATATATATTTGTGTTTTGTCGTGACCTCAGGCGCGATGCTTGTTCATCCGCGAGTTACTTTGTATGCGTTGTTTGTGTTTAGTAACCAGAAACTTCTCATATGTTTGTTACATAATTAGTTTTATTAACTTTAACGATTATAACTTCATTGAAAACGCAATTATTTTTGTAAGTCTTTGTTTAAATCATGAAAATTGCTTTAAAAGATACATTATGATAAAAAACAAATACACAAATTTACATTTACATAAAGAATACAATCTCTTTTAAAATAAAAAATAATAATATACTAATAAAATCTATGATTTATAATAAACTTTTAAAATTTTGACAACTTAATATATATTTAAAACATTTATTTTTGTAAACAAATAATAAATATTTTTAAAACAATTTATGCTAGAAATCTCAAAACGTAACAAATCGTGAATTAAAACATTTCAACAGAATACTCTAGAACTTTATTTCGCTTAATCAGCGTATTTTTTGAACCAATAGAATTAGTTTGTTCGTTAATTTGGCGGGTTTTTAGTGTTCGCAAATATTCTTTTTATTCTTGCGCTCGAAGATGTTTTGAGAACATTCAAGTTTTTTATGTTTCCATGTATGTCCGTAAAACAAAAATTTTTTGTTTCGTACATAAACTTAAATGTTCTCAAAACGACTAAAAACCCTGGCCAGTTTTACGCAACTAAATATAATTTCCGTGGTCAGTATTCGAGAGCGATCGCTCCCGCTTCCCGACCAAGCCTGGAAAAAGGATATTTTGATAGATATTTAAAACTTCCATAGTCACATTTCGTTTAAAACTGACATGTTAAGAAATGTTAACTTATAAGTAAGAAAATGAACTTTCTTCTTTTTTAAATTGTTGTTGTTATTGGTTACCATTTATCTTGTTATTACAAAAACAAATTTTATACATAATCAAATATGATATAACCAGTTTTATATATTTCAGAGATCAGTACAGATGAAAGCTTGCTATACCAATTAAAGCATGTGCACAAACAATTAAAAACTATTATTGAATGTTATAATTTTATATAACTAAGTTTTTAAAAAAAGTTCTTAAGCTACCTGTGACATGCATGCAAAACAAGTCATTCTGATTGCAAATGAGCCTTTAAATGGATGATTGTTTCCTTTTTGACTTGGCAAACTTTTGCAGGCGCGATTTAAGATTCGTGGGTATGCATTTAAAGGAGCCCTATAAAAAAAGCATAATGAACCGTGTGATGAAATATTTTAATACCATTAAATATAAAAATAAAATAAAAAAATTAATTTAAAAAATACTTTAATTTTTTAACTTTGAGCAAAATGACTTGTAATAAAAAAATATATCTGTAACAATATAGGCATTTTTATTTTTTAAATACTGTTAAAACTTTAACACTGTTTTTTAACAACTTTAACATGGGGTGGGATGGTGGGATATGGTCTTCAGTATATTCATTAACTGATTCGGTATGGTGAAATGCCATGAAAGATCATTGGCTTTGTAAGTGAAAGGCAAAGAGTTCAAACTCATCATGCCACAAGAAGTACCTAACTCAACTTGCTTTTCTATCAAACGCACTTGCTTATCAATGTTTGAGTTATTTAATAATCCAAAGATTTATAAAATTATATATAAATATAACAATAAAATTATATATATATATATATATATATATATATATATATATATATATATATATATATATATATATATATATATATATATATATATATATATATATTAAGGTAGATCATAATTGCATTTTTTTGTTCAAATTAGTTTGGAGATCTAAATATCTAACATCTAAATATAATTAAAATTAAAAATTAAAATTATTTTTCCCTTCCATTGCTGCCGTCTAATAGAAAATAAGTAACTTTTCATATTACAATATATGATATATAAAAATCTCTCCTCTACAAAAAATGCAATAACTATGTTGTTTTCTGGTCAAACCTTTAAGATTGTTTGAAAACTCAAAATTTTATGCAGTAGCACGATTAGCACTAGAATAACATTTCTTATATATAAATATATAGATTATTCCAACTATTTTTTGAAGTAAAGTGTGAAATATACTTTCTAGATAAAAGTTTTGCTCTAATGTATCAGTCTCTTCACATTTCTCCAGATACAGCTGGGGCTGTTGTTGTAACCAATTGAATATTTCTTTCTACAATTTGAGAATGGCATGGAAAATCATCTAAAGTCAATTTTTGCATACTTTGTATTTTCAATGAAATCATAAATTAACTTTTTAAATTAACATAGGTGGCGTAGTCCATGTAATCAACTGTGTTAAAGTTTAGAAAAGGAATTTTAAATTTTCTTACTTCTGTAGAATTAAAAACTGCATCGCTTCGCAAATTTAGTTCTTCTAGCTGCTAATTCTCTTATTTCTTTTCGTTCATATATCAACATTGATAACAAAATATTTTTTAGGTAACCATAATATGCATTTCTTTGAATGCATTTATCAACTATAACTCAATCAATTTCAGAAAGGAAGCAAGAGAATTGAATTAAGTGGCACAAATGTTTTGTCCCTATGTAACAATGAGTCTCCAGTTTTATAAAGAACCACACTGGTGCATAAACTCAAAGAATGTAATCAGTAAGTATTAAAAGCTCGGTAAATGGAGGAGTGCTTGCATCATACAAACAAAGGATTCAATTTGCTGTTGTCAGCCATCAAGAATAAACCAACGAGCCAGACTTTTTTTCTAGGGTTCCTTTCACCTCACCTATTTCTATTGCCTTGCATATTTTATAAAAATATTGTTGATCTTTGCTAATACTATTTCTTACAATCTTTGCTAATACTATTTTTCACAATCTCATGTAGAACGTTCACACCAGCATTTACGCTAGCTCTATCAGCACTAATAGCTAACACATTATCAAGTGATATTTTGTTGTCATTAAAAGTCTAAAATAGCTTTCCTAATATTTGTTGATGACACACTCGATGGAGAAACATAACCAAGAAAAATGGAATGAGGTCCTTTAACTAATGTGATATGTTCCTTAGTGATTATGTCTACTTGTTAATTAATGCTAGTTGTTAATGCACAAAGTGTTTTATCTTTTCTCCCATCAAACAAAGTTGATTTTGGGCCTACTGAACACAAGCTAACTTTGCTTTGTGTGATAATGTAGTTCTAAGCAATTGTCTTTGACGCCTTAACTTGGTTCATTCTATTTTTTTGTCATGTTTTTTTTATAATTTCATAATCTGAAAGTGTTGCAGTAGCAATTACAGCTCTAGCAACATCAGATACACCATATCTGTCATATTCTCTGGCAACTGTTGGAAACTTTATCATACTTCTGTCAGATTCACTAGCTAATTCACAGAAACCTGACAACTGATAGTCATCAACATTGCTCTGAGTGTCATTAAATAACTCCTCCCCACCAGAATTAATTTCTATATCTATATCAGATGTGATACTAACTGATGCTTCCAAACTGCTTTTACTAGACGAAAAAAAATTATTGCATTTCTGTCTCTTTCTGCTTCTTACAAATGTTATGGTTAATATAAAAGTTTTATCCTTATCTAAAGGACCAATAACCATATTTCTTTAAATTCTTTGATCCATTAAAAAATTTCAAGCTCAAGTAGTGGCACTTAATATTTTTGGGCATGTGCAATTACTTAAATTAAGACAATGACATACTGCAATGTCAAACAAAATTAAACTTTTCATCTTAGCAATTGTTACTGCTGAAAGTCTTTGATTCACCTTTTTTTTTGTGGATACTATTCTAAATTTGGTTAGTATGTTACTTTTGTTATATCATCCAATGGTTACAGTTTATCGCAATTTAAAAAATAAATTTAAAACAAAAATTAATAAGTAATAACAATAAAAAAAGCCTAAGAAAGCACAAATATGGTAAATTAAGGTCTTTTAGCAACAAACGAAAATGTTAGGTTTTTTTTTCTTATTTAAATTATATCTTTCACGAGCAACAATTTATACTAATTTAAGTTTAATTTTATAACCAAATTATTAAGTCATTAAATAATGATAAAAAATATAAAAATATACAAATATGGTGATTTAAGGCCTATGGCGGCAAAGGAAGACACTAAAATACTTTTTTCCAAATTAAAGTCAAAATACTTTTTTCCAAATTACATCATATTAATCAGGAGCAACAATTTATCATAATCCAAAGTCAAATTTTTTTTAATGATTTACTTTAACATCAGTCTTTCTCAGGGAAACATTGCACGTCTTTATATGACAAGGCAAATTAGAATTTACCGTGACAACTTGACAGCGACTTTTGACATATTTTCAAAATTTTAATATGCGCAACTAAACTCACTTAAACTAATCAAAAAAAAAACTTTAAAAAAGAAAAAAAAATCTAAACAAAAATGCAAATAAAAACAATACTTAACTAAAGTACAAATACACAATATATATATACTAGCAGTAAGCAACCCGTAATACGCGTTGTTAGTAAATAAAATTAAAAAAAAAAAACCACGTATAGAAAACTACTACTTTAAAATAGAAAAGCCTAGAAAATGACGTAACTATTCATATTATCAGAGATATATATATATATATATATATATATATATATATATATATATACATGCATATATATGCATATATATGCATATATATATATGCATATATATATATATATATACATATATATATGCATATACATATATATATGTATATATATACATATATATATATATATATGTGTGTGCAATAATATATATATATATATAAATATATATATATAAATATATATATATATATATATATATATATATATATATATATATATATATATATATACATATATATATATATATATATATATATATATATATATATATATATATATATATATATATATATATATATAAGTATATATATAAGTATATATATATGTATATATATATATATATATATATATATATATATATATATATATATATATATATATATATATATATATATATATATATATATATATTTATATATATAACGGTTTTGAAATACAAGATTTGAAAAATAATCCGATTATTATTTGGAAAACGCGTGTACTAAATTATCAATTAATTATTAAAATTTTGAAAAAGTGTTCAAATTAGGCTTATTGTTTACAATAAGTTCTTAAATTCCTTTCGCTAACGAAAATAACATAAGACACGACATCTAAGAATTTTTTTTTTCACTTATCTAAATTACTTTTATTTTATTGGTGGCAAAAATCATTTTTTCATAAATGATTGAAGCTCTTATTACACTTTATTAGTTTAATAAAGTCTATAATAATAATTATATTTAATATATTATTTTAATAATTATTTTTTTTTTAATTTTATTTTAATTCACCTCCTCAAGGCCGAGAAGGCCACTACAGACGAGGAGGCTACTTATTTGTGGCTATAACCCTCTCTCAACTCTATAACTCCGAAACACGAACCTTGATGAACAAGGCCGCTGCGCGGAGAAACGAGTTGAGCGCGTTACTACCAGGGACGTGGTGAGGATCGAACTCCGAACCACTCGTTTATGAAGCGAGCGCTCTACCACTACACCACTACCGCATTATATATACCGCAATATAATAATATATAATAATTGCATTAAAAACAAAAAACATTGTCTTTTAACTTTTTATTTGTTTACTTGTAAGTTTTGCCGCAAACTGAATAAATGAGGAACTTCAAATTTTAAATTATTCAGTAGAGTGTTGGTCTCAAAAAAGAGCTAAATAGATCGAGGAATTAATTTCCATGTTAATTTTGAGTACAAAATCTTTGCGCGAATTATTAAAATTACAATTTGCTAATTTTATTTACTCTATTTAAATTAAAATTTGCAGTTTTTAAAATGATTTTAATGAGCAAAATGTGCAACCATTTTTTTTCTTTTAACTTTGAATATTAAAGTTCTCAATTGATTTTTATATGATATTGTGGTATGTTACTAAGAACATTTTCTTTTCTAAAATGATTTTTTTTTTATTCAATCTTTTCATTTATTTTCTCGTAGCTTTTCCCGCCATTAGTTACAAATGAATTATTTTTAAAAAAATTTAAAAATATTGTTATGCGATTGCATTTTTTTATTTCTTCTCTTGAATTTTAAAAAAATTATCAAACATCAACCTATTAAAATGGAGGCAAATCAACTCATTAAAAAGAGACAAATAACGATTTC